CACTTTTTCTCTGGCGGCTGTGCTAGTTTCTTTTAATTACCATGTAATTACGTTACAGCATTTTTTTGTTTTTTCATTAAGGGCAAGTGTTACACACACAGTAATAGAGAGATAAGTTTATTATTAGCGTCGCATTTTTTTCCTGTATTAAAATTAATATTTATACATATATATATATATATATATATATATATATATATATATATATAACGATAATGTGGGCGCGCGTGTGTCCTCCGTACTTTTCGAGAGAGATGCATATACGAGTGTATATATGTGTGTGTAGTACATAAGAGTTACGTATCAACACCGTCGACTTTTTTCGTTTTTGTTGGTCTTGTTTTGAAGCGCCGCAGCAGCCTTCGATCGTGGCAATTCGTGCAATCAAGAGAGAACGATTAAATTAATTAATTAATTAATTAACGATTTCGTCTTAAAAACAAAACACTTCAGAACACCTGTCGTTTCCCCCCTTTCCTTCTTTCTTTTTTTCTTCAAACATTTATCATCTGTTTTTCTCGCTTGACGACGATGGCGATAACACGCAAGCTTGAAAGATCGCAGCACGACCCCCCTTTCGATATTTCATATTTACTTTTTACTTGTACCTCTGACGAGAAAATAATTATATAACATACCACACACTCTTATGTATTTATAACATGTATCAATTTTTTTTGTTCACGCTAGTTTTTTTTGTACACGCATATATGTTATTCATTTATTTACTTGTTTTTTTAATTTTCATGTTTTGCTCAATTTTACGACTTGTTAAAAAGGTTGCCAAAAGTGAAGAAAAAAAAATAAAAAGAAAACTCTCACTTCTTTCCTCGCACTCCGCTCTAAACATCAAATACGCTAAATTCCGATCGTTCCGTACAATAATAATAACATTAAACAAATTAGCCTTCCACGTTAGTTAATCGCAAGCTCGTCGAGATTTTGCTCGTGTATTTATTAGAAACACATACCATATACAAATTCGCTCTCTTCGCGTTATTACGCGATTATCTTTACTGTTGCGGATACAATATCGTGTACACCTCGACGATCTATACAAGTTGCAATTAACGTCCGTTTATCGCCAAGTCGTAATCAACGTGTCCTTGATAAATGGCAAACCAACGACTTGCAATAACTAATCTCCCAAGAATAAACTTTTTCTTATATCGCGGACACGTCAATTATTTTATACATTTCGGTAAGTTGGCACCTGTTCCGGTCGTTCTCGCAAGTGTGAGTTTCACTTTCACAATAGAAGAGACGTTCACATCTTACACACAGACACAATTAACATTAAAAAAAAAAATTCGCGCTCTCGTACAATTTGTGCACTACAAATCTTTATCCGAATTCGCAATATCCGAGAGAGAACAATTTGCCAATTATACTTTGCTCTTCTCTCTCTCTTTACATGAAAAATAACGATTATATAATAATAAATCACATATAAAAAAACAACACACTAATCAACAAAGTTTAAACAAAAAGATCAATGCTAAAATTTTTACTGGTTATTGGTTTTGTTTATTTTTTTCCAATAGTTTTTTACTATCGGCCTCGCACTTCTCACCACCACCTCGCTCGCAGACATTTTGCGGGCTAAGTTCAATTCGCAACTACTTTCTCTACTTCGTTTATCTGTCTCTCTCTTTCTCTCTCTCTACTTCTCTGCTTCTTTTCTCGCAATATTTACATTAGGTCTCAATCGCTACGGGATAAAAAAATAAGTGAGTGACAGTGTAAAAAAAACTCATTTATCATTCGCAGGTTGCTGTTAAATTCTAGAAACGTGTCATCGCGTGGTCGTGATATACTTTCGTCGTTGATGCGCAAAACATAACGAAGCAAAGTAACCTACAAAGAAAAACTTCTTACACCGATCGAACGAATATTCGCGGGTTTTTTTTGTTCGTTGTTTAAAAAAAGTGACAGGGGAGGGAAAAGAACGAAGAAAAAAAAACAGATGCGCGTGTCAAAAGTCAGTCCGTGCATCTCTCGCGACGGAAGGAGGCCTTGATTCTTACTTGCGATCGATTCGTCTCGGACTCGCAACGTAGATTGTAGAACTTGTTGATCGAAGCTTAGCTTACACACCGACAACACGCCACAAGTGGCCGCAAATGTACTCGACGAAGAGACTCGAGAGATACGTGTAATCAAGGACGGTTCCGACAAGTTTGAAGAATCTCTTAAATTACACAGCGCGCGAGATGATGATGACCGAGAGATGAAGAAAATCTCGTATCTCGAAATTAGCCGACGTTTCGAACAAAAATAAGCAACAAACTCTTCTTCCACGTGTGAGAAATTAAATCTCAGAACTCCGAAAACTTTGTACGATACATTCGCGGCGGGCCGTTAACGCGAGTTAAACGCGATTTATTTTTATCAATAAGTGTGAGAAAGAGGGCCCCCTTCCCAGAATCAAGGATGATTTCCTCGGAAATTAACAATTTTGCGGAAAACCTCGCGGCGACTCGCGCGATTGTCAGCAGACGGGCAGCCTCGTGAATACACACGAGACGTTCAGGAAGAAGAAGAAGTAAAAGAAGCAGAAAGAAGAAGAGAAGGGCGCAGAGTGTTGTGGTGGTAGCAGAGAGCGATAGGCGATAGGCCGGCAAAGAGAGGCACAGCTCCGGCTGGATCTCCTTAGCATTAACACACGATATACCTGAAAAACCAGTTTTTTTTCTTTTTTTTTTCGCGAACTTTTTATTAGGCCTTTACTTTCGCTCGCTGAACTGAAAGTAAGAGTGAGCGAGCGAGGCAAACGAGGCCCCAGTTAAGCGAGCGAGCTAACTAACGGGGTCAGCAGTCGATACGGATACACGCACGTAAACAGAGACAGACGGTCTCGCGCAACGCACATTGTCGCACACACGCGCTCGCGGGATAACCGAGGAGGAAGAAGGCGAAAAGAGAGAAAAAGACACGGAGAAGCGTAACGCAAAAGTCACATGTAACGCGCGCGCGTATATAATTGCGTACAACAACATATCTACTAATCACCTTAGCCACGCGTCGGACGGACGAACGCGAGCGACGCTACGCGACGCGACGCACCTGACGCACGTTCTTTTGCCTTCGCGCGTTGACACTCCGGAGATAGTAATTGCGGTTTACATTAAATATTTACGATATTCAATACGGTGCTTGTCATCGCTGCGAGTCATCGCCGGGAACGATGTTCGCGCGATATATATTTCAACGCGTCGCGTATTCGCGCGTCGCTCTTCGTCGGTAACGCGAAACTAACTCCGCGTTGTCGTCTCGGAAAATTTATCCCTCGCTCCACACGAGAGTCGTATTTCTCTCGACGCGTTGTACATACAAGTGGGCAACGAACGGTCTTAAGTGATTCTACCTCGCTCCTATTTATCTTCATTTTATCTCTCTCTCTCTCGTTGTTATTTATCCTCTCGTTTCTTTTTCTACGTCTTTTCTCTTCCTCCTGTTTTCCCTCCCCATCATCCCACACTGTCCTTCCTCTCGCACGCGCCAAGAATTTTTTTCAAACTTCAACCACAACAGCGTGTGTATCGCGACATCGCGCGTTCTCAAGAACGTGGGATCTGCTCTTTGTAATACGCAGGTCGTAGGATAAGCGATGCGACATCGCAGCACAAGTGAACTGAGCTTTCAACAAAACGCTTCCTCAGAAACGCGCGGCTGGATCTTGTTAAATCGGAGAGAAAAAAGTAAAAAATCACTCACGGAAATGCTAAGTATCGTTTTACGAGATACGTGAATTTATTCAAAATAAAGGCGTGTGTGTGTGATCAAAACGTATCGAGACCGTACGTTAGCAAACAATATTTGCGCAGTATAAACTTGCATCTCCCGAATGGCATTTGAACATACATCGGCGATACCTTCGAATGCTTTCTTTTACATTGTTCTATTTTCTTGAATTTCGCTTCATAAATTAACACGATTCGATTTTCACACACACACATGCCAGAACGCCCGGTAAAATTTTTCTGATTTCTTCAGTCTTCCCATTGTCGCCATTTTGTTTCCCTCTCTCTCGGTTACGAGAAAAAGATTTTCGACTTATTTTAAACAAATTTTTCACAAGTGTCGCACGAGATTGTTTTTGTTCTTCTATACCGCGAGAAACAAAGCAACAGCGAGAAGATACAAAAAGTGTCGCGAATCGACTTCCTATCGGGTGTTCCGGGTGTTCAAATTGTCTCCCTCTGGAAAAGCGATTGCAGCCGCGGTTTGTCTCGCTCGAGAAAATGCTATTCGCTCGTTTTTTTTTGTTTTCGAAAAAAAAAAAGAAAAGCACGGTTGGTCAGACACGTCTCGGTAGTACGTATGTACAGAATATGCGAACGCGCGCGTGTATGTGTGTGTACGTGTGTGTACGCTCGTTCCGCGTTCTCTCGTTAGAAATGAAAGAAAGAAACGGCGCGGAAGAGCGTTTTCCCTCTCGATCCGCACGCTCTCCAACAACGGCCTCGTTTCTCTCTTTTTTCTTTTTGTTTTTTTCGGCGCACACGGACCCTGTGCAACCCCCCCTTCCTCGCCTTTCACGCAAAAATCCCATTTCGTACGAATTAAATCTTATCACGTTATACACAGTATCTAAATGAAATGTGTTCACAGCCACACATTAATTATACATAGATTTCTTTTTTTTTATACATATATATATATTTGCATATTTAAATATATTTATATATATATATATTTTTTAATTTTTGTGTTTTTTCTCCGTAGCCAAAAAAGCGCCATCACGCGCCTGCCTCCTCGCAGAGAACTCGGTGTGTGTTTTTCCACAAACGAATTCTCTTTTTCTCCTTCAATTTCGGCACGCGATCGGTTTTCTCTCTCGACAGAGAGAGAGAGAGAAACAAAAAAAAAAAACAAAAAAAAACCGAGAAAGCAACGAAAAAAAGCTGATGTTAAGAGGAACGCGCCTTTCGTTCGTTTAATCGAGTCATACTTTTTTTCACATCTATCGACACACGCTTGTTTGTTTATTTTTTTTGTTTTTTTTTTTTTATTTTTTTCCGACTCTTCTCTTTTCTCTCTTCTTCTGTTTCGCACCGAGTGTTCCCACTGTGGAGATTGTTTTTTACCTCGCGTCTTCCAGGGTTCTTTCTCTTGCTTTCTTGCTCGAACACGGCGTCTAGAAGTCGATGTTTGTGTGTGTGTTTGTATGTGTGTTTGTGTACATATGTGTGTTTTGTTGACAACACACATTCCGGCACGACGCCCGATGTCCGTTCTTCCGAAATTCCAAAGACCGTCTCTCTCTCTCTCTCTCTCTCTCTCTCTCTCTTTCTCTCTCTCTATCTCTTTCTCTCGCTAGCGGTTGACGTTCAATCGTATTCGGAAAAACGTCTTTTTTTACTTTCCGTCAAAATCTTCTTAGTCTTCTTTGAATGTTTCTTGATCTTGCTGTTTTTGTTTATTTTTAGGCACAACACATTGTTTCTGGAGTCTTGTAGTATTTTGGTTGTTTCGCCGCGACCGTAAGCGATACCAGCGTTTTGGTCCGAACTTGTTTTTTGCTGCGGCAAATCGCCACCGAGCGTTTTACAGAAGTGCCTAGAAAGAGCAGCACTCGCGAACAGAGAACCAGGTAGATAAGAGTAAGTTATCTGGTTCCTTTCATCTCCCTCGTCTATAACCTGACACTCTCTCTTTGTCGCATCGACGATATTGTACGTTTGCCATCCGAACACGCCGTTTCTTTTTGTTTTTTTTTTTTCAGATCGCCAACTTGGTTGTTCCCGCATTCATCAGCGATCACCAATGGACGCTTCATTTCTTTTCACCACTTGTATCATCTCGCATCACTCCGACACGTCCAGCGAACGTCAACTGAGACGCTCAGATTCTTTGACGTTGGACGCGAAATGTCTGATGTCCTTGTTCTTGGACGAGTTCTCTTCGGCGTCTTGAGAGGTACCACAAACGCAGCAGAAGTCTTTCTCGAACGGACAGTAAAAGCCACAAGTGCAGAAGTAACAAATCTTGTACTCGTACCTTTGGTACCACGAGCTGTAGGAATCATGATTGAAGTCGTTAATGTCGCAACGATCGATCATGGTAGCGCGATCAGCGCTGGCGAGAGCGGTGGTGAAAATGGCGGCGGTGGTGATGTTATTAGCGGCGTCTACGGACACAGCGTTATCGTCGATATCGTCGCATCACGACGAGCACGCCATCCAGTTGCAGGTGCACGTGTAACACGCGGTCGTGGGTATCACCGGCGCGTAATAATAGCCGTTGGCGTATACGTAGGTAGCGGGCGGTCCTTGCGGCGCCTGTTGATGGCTCGTAAGCCGCTGCTGCTGCTCCTGGCAGAGCACTTGGTAGGCAAGATTCTGTATCAGGGCGAGTGTCTGCCGCCGTTCGTGGCCCATCAGGCACACGGTCGACTCCTCGACGACGCTGTGCAACAGCATCAGGTACTGATATTTGAGAGCCTCCTCCTCGGGCCCGACGAAGTGATTCCACAGATAATTTTCGAGCTTCGAGCGCTGCTGTCCTATGTCCGGAAAGTCGATGAAGAATCTTGAGCACATGTACCGTTCGAGCGTCTTGATGTGCTCCGGTTGCGCCGGTTTGTACATTTTCACTAAGAGATTGCAGTATTTGAGCAAACCGCCGCCGCGTATCTCCTCGGGATGCCTCGTCGAGATAAGCTTCTTATGCAGATGGTAGAGCGCCTCCTGGAAATCACCGTACACGGACTCACCCACCACGGTCGGATAGAAGTTTTCGGCGATCGGCAGCTTGCTGCACTCGTAGAACAGCAACAGGGAGTCAAGAACGATCTGGAAGGAGTCGACGGAGAATTCGAACTGCCGCCTCATCGAATCGACGAACTTGAGCTCGACGTTCCGGTGGCCTCGGGAATTGCCAAGAGAGATCAGGGACCACCGGTCACCGTCGTTGTTCACCTTCACCATTTTGCTCACGTAGGCCTCCTTCAAGCTGCACGTGGTGATGCGTTTGCGACTCACGCCTTCCGGCAACAAGTCAAACAAGGAGCCGAGCACCGCGGCCTTGACCTTGTCGTAGTTGCGGCCACTAGAGAGCTCGACCGCGAAGATAAGATCCAGGTCGTTGTAGGGCTGGGACTCGGTGGCCAGCACGTGAGAAGCGGCACCGCCGTTCAGCCGAATGTCGCGTACCCTCATGCCAGCGCCCCCGTTGCTCGGATCGGTCTCCAGCTTGCTGCGCACTACTGTCACGAGATCCCTCAGTCGGACCTCCAGAGTGGGAAAGTTTCCACGCCCGTGGATGCTCACAACCTCGTTCATCACATCGTTCAGACGGCGCACCTGTTCGAAGCTCAGCACCGCCAACCTCTGCTGAGGATCGGTGCAATCGCTATTGCTGTTGTTATTGTTGGTGCTGCTATTGTTGTGGGTGTTGCTCTTGGTATTGTTGTTGTTGTTGTTGTTGTTGGTCTCGTTGCTAAGATCCCCATTGCTGTTGGTTTTGCTGCCGTTCACCTGGCAGAGCGACTCCATCATAGCGACCCGACGCTGGCGTTCTTCGCCGATCTCCAGAGAGCCACACTGCAACAATCACAAGATACGAGATCGTTACGCAACGCTTTTCTTCGAAACACAATGGATTCAGCGAATTATTACGAAAATTGTGCGAACTTCATCGCGTTATCTTTTGGATGAAATTGTTCTTTGTAAACAGTTCCTTCAATTTGTACATACAAACAATTTATTAATTATTGTGAAAATTGTGCGAACTTTATCGCGTTATCTATGTGATAAACATGTTTTCTGTAAACAATTTCTTCGATTTTGCATACATAAAAAAAAAAAACTAATAAAGACGTTGAAACACTAAAAACAAAAAAAGTCAAAACCTTGTGTTTTTATTTCTTCTCGCAATCGTTTACGCGTTATGACCTTTCGCGACCTTTCCGATCGATCGACGTGCCGCATTTCGTTCTAATTCCCGAAGTGTTCAGGCGCGGAGATTAAAGTGGAAATAAAAAAATGTTTCAGAAAATTTCGCAAATTTCCGACGAGAGTGGCGCATCGTCGAGCACGCCCTTCGACTGCTATCTATGTCATGGTACTCGAAGTGTACGAGTGCACGGCGAGAAATGCCACGAGGTTACGTCCGGGTGTGCAACGTATATAACGTCGAGAGCGCCGCGTATTCGAGCTGAACCTTCGACCGGTTATGGCTTTCATCGTCCGGTGTTATATTCCGAAAAGCGCAACAAGTTCGAGAAGCGCGCGCGCGCGAGTTTCGTTTGATTTAATCTACTAATTAAATTTATTTAATTAATTCGACGACTTTTTATTGTTAGTATTTTAGCAACGCCCGAAAATCTAGAACATGTTTGTGTGGAAACACATTTGTGCGGAAATGTAACGAAGTATCTTCTCCGCGAAATTCTCCAACGTTGCGAAAGATAATACACAGTACATTAATTTCGCGGATATTTATGTATATATATTTTTTTTTATACGAAAGTAAGTAACGCAATAGAAGTCATTCTCTCGTCCCGACAACGAGTGATGCAACGAACTCTCCTTATACCCCCTCCGGCTTTCGTCTTCGTGTGTGTCGTTTTTATTGTGACAGATAACACGCACACTTGGAAATAACAAAACAAGCTGTTATCTCCGTCAGATGCTACGCAATCAAGATCACGGTTATGTGTCTCTTTGACACACACAAGGTAAAGTCGCTATTACCGCTTATTGACATCGGAACGCGCAGAAGAAGAAGAAGCGGAAGAGCCGCATTTTCGCGCATCTCCTGCAATAAATAATTTTTATCGCGCTTGTATCTTTTCGACGAAGAAAAAACCGTCCGTATTTTTTTTTGTTTTTTTTGTTTTCAAAATCTGAATTATTTATATCTTAATTAACGTTTGTAACGTACTCGCCTCGGAACGTGAATTCGCAAAGATAAAAAATCCGCGGATCGATCAATCTGACCGTGTTGCTTGACAATTCACAATGACGTTACCTCAAGCACGTAGAAAAACAGCACTCGCGACAGAAACAAGAAAATTACACAATATATACAGGTACATTGTACTTGTTTGCAGAGATGATAACTTTAATAAGATAATTTTGCGCGGCTCCGAGAAAGAGAGAAAGAGAAAGAGAGATAGAGAGAGATGTCAAGAGCGCGAACGTAAGAAAGAGTTGCTCGCTCGAGTAAAAGCACCGCGTTTCCAAACACACATTTATTTGCCTATTCAAATGACTCACGAAGCAAAACGAGTTTTCGACGTAGAGCAAAGTGTCAAGCGTTGCACCTTCATTTCAAGCGCGAAACTTCACGTGTGTAATCGCGATAATAAAGACAGAGAGAGAGAGAGAGAGAGAAACTGGGAAAGCGTCATTTATATTCAGCGACTCGAAACAAACACTGCGAACACGTATAATATCATCTTCCACCACAGCGATGAAGTTTCGACGTGTTGTCGCGCACACAAGAGAATTCCAACGGTCCCTTTCATTTTTGTTTTTCTTTTTGACAAAATAAAAAAAATCTACGACACATTAAAAAAAAAAAAAACAAATCACAAATCTCGTCGCCGGGAAAACTTCCGGGGTAGGAAAACCGCGAGTTCAATGTTTCTCGAGCGAGTAACTCGGAGCGCTTCTTCGAAAAACCGAGACGCGCGAGAGATAGAAACTCCCCAAAGAAACCGAAGAATCCACAAGTGCGGTGCGATGCGACGCTCTCGACACCAGGCGCGATCCCAACAAGTATCGGAGAAAAACGCTAGTTAATATCTGTGAGTACCTGGTATTACGCGCTGTCAAGTACGTTGCGGATACCAACCGGATATTACGTCGGATTGGGTTCTCGTTCGAGAAGATCCGCAGCTGATGAGAGACATCAGCGAACTGAGCCCGCGCGAGTGAAAGGCGGAGGAGCGGCGAGATATCGGCAGCGGGTGGCGGGGCGGCAGCAGCAACAGCAGCAGCTGCTGGTGCTGCTGCAGCAACCGCAGCAACACCGGCGAACGGCAACTAAGAGGGTGTAGCAGGCCTCTAGTGCGAAGCCCTCTATTACGTCCAATACCCACTACCACTGTCATTAGCAGCGGGAGGACGTAGTCCTGGATCGTCCGTGTGTACGTCTGTGTGCGCGCGCGCGCAGTTGGGGGGTAGTGAACGCCACGGTGCCTTCTATGACGTCACGCGGGAGAGAATGCGAGGGTGGTACTGAATGAAGATTGTAGTCTGCGAGGAGTGAATTCAATTCGGTCTCTCTGTCTCTCTCGTCTCTATCTCTCTCTCTTTCTCTCTTCTATCTAGTCTATCTATCTCTCGTTTTCCTTTTCTCGAGGTGTCTTTGAAGATACCCTGTGTTCCTCTTTTCAATTACGAATTACTTGAGACCGAGAGAAAAGGCGATTATTCCAATAGTACAGACAACGAGAGAAGATTGCGAGCGAATTTAGAATACACTTTAAGGTAAGATAAACTTTACGGTTGGCAAAGAGAGAGAGAGAGAGAGAAAGAGATCTCTTCCTCGATAAGGATATTTGAAAGCCGCGCGTACAAAACTTGAAACAATTATCAGGAAAATAAGACGCAATTATCCGCTTCAAAGCGATTACAAATCCAAATCAGCGGGACTCAAGGAAACTCAACAGACTGTTTCCAGGTGAGTGTTTTTTTTCTTTTCTTTTCTTTTTTTTTTTTTAAATAGCAAAAGATACGCGCGGCTTCGTCGTTTCCGTCCGAGACACCCGATGCGTACGTCCGGAGGGATGTGACATGCGAGAGAGAAGCCGAAGGGGGTGGGAGAGAAGCGTCACAGATAGGGTATATACATCAACGAACGCCCACGTTTCGCGCTGGGGGAAGAGAGAGAGAAACAGGACCGAGACTATCTCTCTCGCCAAGTGCTATCGATTTTACCAACACCCAGCAATCGTCAACCCACGTCAAAGCCGGTTAGAGTCTCACGTTTTACGTACATTACGCGCGCGCTATATATTTCTCTCGTTCGTAACGAGAATATTTCGCGCACCGGCCGCGTTTTATCGTTGCGCGCGCGTACGCGCAAACAAAGAAGGGATAAAATTTTCGCGCAGTTACATATATTTGTCACAATCCAGGATTTTTTTTCAGGTGCTTATCCCCCTCTTGCCGGGGAGCGTCGACTCCTCGCCCCCGCGCGCTTTTACGCCGTTTTATTCTGCGCAGACTCGGTGACATTACGCATCGAGCGTGCGCGCGCGCGCACACACAAACTTTTTTTTTGTTTTTCGATAAAACGCGAAAACCACCACTGCGAGGAAATTGCGTCTATGTGGCGGAGACGCGAAAACCACCGCGCGCGTCAATGCGGGAATTTACACGCGCGTTTTTCCGCCGCAAAACGAGAGAAACCGCGATTACTCTCGACGTTATGGGACAGACACTCTGTATCTTTCTTTGATGCGCGCTGCAATTGTCCCGGTGTCCCGTTTCTCGCGATATCGTCGCGCGCCAAGTATTTTATTTGAAAAATAATAACAAAACCGCGTTACAATTGCCGATGAAACGGCGCGCCGCCCTATCTGAAAAAAAAGATAAAACGCGAAACTTCGCATCGCGCGCGCGCGTTTATTACAACGAAGATTGATACGGCGGACAACCGCGGCGTGTAGCGCAAAGGCAAACGTGTCGTCCACACGAGGACGAGGAGAGTTGGAAAGTGATGAATGTGAAATTCGCTGCGGTCAATTATAGAAGAGCGTTGCGACGTTCGAGTCCAAATAGTCATCTGATGCAAATTGCATCCCGGTGTAAACGTCTGCATTCCTCGTCGCTAGGCAACGGCGCCGACCTGCGAAGCAAATCTCGGAGACTCTCTCGGAGATGATGCGAACACCGTGAATACCTAAGCGCGTGCGTTTACCTCTTTCTTTCTCTCTCTTTCTTATTCTCGTGCCGTGCGCGACGCAACGTGAAAACGCGGTAAGATCGGCGACACGTCTGGGAAATACTTGCGGCGGCTTGCGGCTCCTCGTCATCCGATGCGAGAACACGGTACGTTGCGCACGGAATCAACGAATAAGGTAAATGTCCCAGTGACCGCAGACAAACTTCATCTGTGACTTTTATTAAAGAAATAATCAACAAAGAAGTATTTAAAAGAAAAAAAACAATTGGAAGCCGGTAACTAAAAACGTACCTTAAAAACTCCTTAAAACAATGAACAATTGTCACGCGATTAACAATATTCGCACATCTAACAATTACTTCTGTCCGGGTGACACATTTACCTCGGCGAGATTCGCCCGAGGGACGACGATTTTTTCGCGCGATAGAATTTCGATTCCCGAGCAGAGTTTCGGGTCTCCGCTTCTCTCTCACACGTCGAGAAAAAAAAAACTAATAACAAAATTCTAATGAGATTCAAAACTCGCGTTTCACCGACGAGGTGTTGTGTCGCTGATGATAAATATCGTTGTTTAAAGAATACACACGCGGCGAGTGAAACCGAACTCAACCTATCCTATCACGCCTTTATCATTGTATGTATAACGTCGCGCGACGCGCAGATGCGCCATGAAACACACGCCACT